ATGGTACTAGTCTGGTCTTTCTTGATCTGGTGTATTACAGACAGGTCCGCCCAAGGTGTCCTTGTCTCGGTCTATGCCGTCTCCTGTTTCAGGTCCCTGATTAGTTTAGCCTGTCAATTCCACTTGAACGGAGGCCTGAGACGGGTAAAGTGTTGTGTGGAACTGATCGGGCCAAGTGTTTGAGTGAGTAAGTGAGTTGGATTTGGGTGGCCCGCAATTCGCGGTGCAGAGTTGCTTCCCTTGGGCATGCCAGAAACCTATGATTGTGGGTTCGAATCCCGGTTCGCCCCGATTATGTTTCTAGGTTTGACAGCACCATACCCGTGCTCGAGGGTTTCACCGAAGTGGTAAACGTCTGAGACCTGTATCACTTCGGGCTTTCCTCCCACATGGAGATGACACGCCGTGATATAACTGGAATACCGTTGAATCCAACTCACTCACTCACTCACTCATCTATATTTCAGTTATATCACGGCGGTAAAGTGGCAGGTAAGCTCGCAGCGATGCAAATACGGAAGACTTTCAAACATTGTCCTGAAAGTTACCGCACAGGTTCTTATGACTGAAAACTTCCTTTTCTTTCTTTCTGTCATTTGCAATTTTTAGACTCATAACACAGTCAGGTACAAAAGTTTGCCTTACAATGAATGAGTGAGTTGGTTTACGCCGCTTCTAGCAACATTTCAGCAATTAGGGGACACCAGAAATGGGTTTCATATATTGTACCCCTGTTGGGAATCGAACCAGGTCTTCAGCGTGACGAGCGAACGCTTTAATCACTGGGCTACCCGACCGCCCCTTTACCTTACGAGAATGAACAACCTTCTTTGAGCTGCGAGAGCTCCGTGACTCAAGATGAATTAATCATCATGCGCCTGTACTTAGTCTACTACATGTCCTAAGCAAATCAGCTCATTAGAGACTCTTCGTGGCAATTTTCATCAAAACCTCAAAACTCATTTTAGCGGACACATTTAAATTCAATTGGTTGGTTTGTTGGTTTGTTGGTTGGTTGTTTAATGCCGCACTCAGCAATATTCCAGCTATATGACGGCGGTCTGTAAATAATCGAGTCTGGACCAGACAATACAGTGATTATTATCATGATCATCAATCCACGCAATTGGGATCGTTGACATGAATCAACCAAGTCAGCGAGCCTGACCACCCGATCCCGTTAGTCTCCTTTTACGACAAGAATGGGTTGCTGAAGACCTATTCTACCCCGGAATATTCACGGGTACATCCGATCACGAGGGTGTGTGTTTTGTATATATAAACACAAAATGCTGAGTTCAGGTTGTATTCATTCAAATACAACCTGAACTCAGCATTTTGTGTTTATATATACAAAACACACACACACACACTTGTGATCGGATCATAACGTTTGTTTAACTGTTGTCTCATTTTTTTAAATTAGTTTGTTTGGATGTTGTTTAACGCCGCACTAAGCAATATTCCAACTATATCACGGCGGTCTGTAAATAATCGTATCTGGACCAGACAATCCAGTGATTGATATCATGAGCATCGATCCACGCACGGGATACGATTACATGCATCAACCAAGTCAGCGAGTCTGACTACCCAATCCCGTTAGTCGCCTCTTACGACAAGCATAGTCGCCTTTTACGGCAAGCATGGGTTGTTGATAACCTATTCTACTCCGGATCTTCACGGGTATTTAAATAAGTAGTTTAATGGGTCTAGCCTGTCTTTTCGACACACTGCTTCCCATTTCTAATGCAGTTGACTGCACTTGTTGTATAGAATATCATAACTTAACTAGAGGCACGGGTCGTCTTTGGGGCAGCATTGCGCTGTGTAAAGTTGCGGCCCTTAGTTGACCTAGGATCTGATAACCGTGTGCTCCCAGATTTGTCAGCTGTACATGTGCTCGTCGGGTTTCACCAAAGCGGGAATCGTCTAAGACCTTTATCACTGACTCACTAATCAAACGATTTGAAGGCGAGAGGGCTTTGAGATTTTTCGCATCCATAAAGTGAGTGAGTGATTGAGTTGGATTTGCCGCACTCAGGAATATTCCAGCTATATGACGGCTGTTTGAAAAATAATCGAGTCTGGACAAGACAATTCAGTGATTGACATCATGAGCATCAATCTACGCATTTGGGATACGATGGCATGCATCAAACCAAGTCAGCAAGCCTGACCACCCAATCCCGTTAGTCGCCTCTTACGACAAGCATCCTCGCTTATTAAGGCAAGCATGGGTTGCTGAAGATCTATTCTACCCCGGATCTTCACGGGTCGCGTGGCAGATTGAATTGGCAGGGAAGCTCGAAGTGATGCAGGTCTTTGACGTTTACCTCTTTCTGAAGCTTCACAATATATCGTAAATAGTTTACATCTTATATTGAGGCAATCGTCTTCCTCACTTCATTGCTGGTCAATTACAATGTAATATGTTTTGAGGCACTGAATGCAGCTTTTTTTAACAAGCAGATATTAACATCGCGAATAACATAGTGCTGCAAAATCGTATCTAGGCTTCGTTTTTTACTATCCGTTACCTACTGGTCGCCAAATCATAGCTACGATTCAACAGGTAACATTGTGATCAGATCAGGCCAGCATGTGGGGTGGGCTAACATTGGCATTACGTTGAAAACATAACCATCAATACTTGTTGGTCATTTAATGTGTGTGGCCATCGTCGGGCCTCATGCCTTAACGATGTTGTATCCATGGAGGTACATGTATTGTGCTATAATTACAAATGTGTTCTGTTTCCGCGATTTTGATTGGCCGGCGTATTCAGGAAGGTGTTTGATAAAATGTAATAACGGTAAAAACGACTTACGAGCGGCAACAATTTTTATAGGGGATTTCCTTGACCTTCCACGTATGACTCTTGTGCAAGCAGTTGTAACAATGTCTGAAACTAGAATCTGGACATCTTGCATCGGGCAGTCATTGGAATACGATATCCACACACACACAAAAATATTAATTCAGCAAATTGTTAAAAGTGGAACATTTTATTGTGACAAGAGTTGGTAACATGGACATAGGTATTATTATTTCCCGCAGATGCCATCCTCGCGAGGCAAGGGACTTTACTGACTCTAAAAGTCCAGTTTCCACCCTTGCCGAACTAGGCTGGAATAATGGAGTTATATTTTAGGTGGACTAAGCAGTCTAAGCATTGTCCAATCAAAATCGAGTCGAGAAATCGACATCAGGTTCATAAACAACATGGCGACTGCCGTGTAGATTTCGGTCAAATGGGTGAGTGAGTGAGTATGGTTTTACGCCGCTTTTTGCAATATTCCAGCAATATCACGGCGGGGGACACCAGAAATGGGCTTCACACATTGTACCCATGTCGGGAATCGAACCCGGGTCGTCGGCGTGACGAGCGAACGCTTTAACCACTAGGCTACCCGACCGCGTCCACAGATATTTTCCAAATCTTTTTATGTTTTTAGTGAAGGTGATCAAGTGATTTGAGGCATTCCGGAAGGTAAATCCACTTTTATTACGATAAAGAACTTGATTATCAATCAGATCATCTTGATTGGGCGCCTCCATTTTGTTTGAAGCAAATGCGTGTGATATGAAAGGTGGAATCTGATTGGTCGATAGGAGGGACAAGGAAGTGCCGTAACTCGTAGTGCCATAACACTGGTAGCGCTACGATCGAGCCACGAAATTCCAGCCTGGTCCGGCAAGGGTGGATTTTTACAGTCAACTAGGCCCCTTGTCTAGGGAAGATGCGTAGACACAGACAACTCCAGAGAGCGTGGAACGTGAACAGAATATAACGATGCGCTGCGGATATACCTTATACCCCTATCACACCAGACTAGTTCTCAATACGTTCGTAAAAATGTTGTCGAATGGGTTCAAACTGTGTATGAACGTAGTGGACGTAGTAACAACTATTGACAGTCGTTACGAACTTCATGGACGGGCTCGGACGGGGAGGGTGCCCTAGAACTTTGAGTCTGCTCAAAATTTTATCCCGTCCATCCCGTTCTGCATTTAGTCGTATTGACAACGTACTTACAACGAGAAAGACTTATTAAGAACGGAATTGCCGTACTCGAATTCGAACGGAATTGCCGTACTTCGAACCTACTAGGGACGTGTTACGACGTGGTGCAGTCGGACATAAATTTCAGTACGTGTGCACACTGACCGGGTCGACTTCTCTTTGGAGGCATGATGTGTACAGCTCGGAGCCCTGAACTTGAATGAAGAATGGCTACAACGCGCTCGGTATCCATAGGAGTCGGGCCAGGACGGGCCAGGACGCGAATACACACGCACTTGGGACGAGATGAGGACGTACTGCGAACGAGTTGGTAGGGTTAAGAATTAGTTAGAACTGGCTTGGACGTATATATTGTGAACGGGGTAGAACGAGGTTGAACTGGCTAAGAACGGGTTCAGAACGGCTGCGGACCTGCTCGAACTGCTTCGAAACGTTGTCGGGATGAGGTGAACGGGCACTTTTACACGATCTGAACTGGATACAAACGGACTGTAGACTGGCTAAGAACGAGATAGACGTATTGAGGACTGCTTATGAACGAACTAGCATCGTATTTTATGCCAAACTACGCGTTCTACCGTGATCACAGCCCGTTCTAGTATTTTGTTTAGAACGGGGTAGAACGGGATAGAACTACTTTGGTGTGATGGTAGCATAAGGTCGAAGGTTAATTGTTTGAATATACCACAACATAATAATTAGAGCAATATCAGTTTCGATGTGGTGGCTATCTGACGTTGTCTCTCTTATTTCATACACACGAGAACCGATAATTTTGCCCCGTAGGTGAATCCCTTTGCTCGTCGCACCGACTGCCGGGTTTCGACTATTGCTAAAAGCGCCGTAAACCCATATTCAGACAACAACTTATCACTTGTTTAACGCCGCACTCAGCAATATTCCAGCTATATGACGGCGGTCTGTAAAGAAACGAGTCTGGACCAGACAATACAGTGATTGACATCATGATCATCGATCCACGCAGTTGGGATACGATGACATGCATCAACCAAGTCAGCGAGCCTGACCATCCGAACCGTTAGTCGCCTCTTACGACAAGCATAGTCGCCTTTTACGGCCTTTGGGTTGCTGAAGATGGGTCCACGGGGCAGCGGACTAATGATATCAATACCTTGTGTCGTGGTAGGACAAGAGACTAACACTCTGAATACGAACAAGCAGAGTTGCCTGGGATAGCGATGGACAACTGGAAGTCATGACTCAAATTGTCACTTATTGGTAATAGGCAATGGACAGCGGGAAAACGGGTGGCTTCCCACGCGATTTTAAGGCTAGCATGGGTTGCTGAAGACCTATTCTACTTAAGAAATGTCAACAAGGCCGCATTATACAACCGCAAACCTTTCATTCCAACTCTTCCCAGTGTATCCTGACTTGCCATTGCGATAATACACACACATTACACACCTATTGGCAAAATTATTATGTATCAAAGCAGATATAATGCACAATTCCTCATACACTATCAGAATGTACATATAGGTTTGTCTTACTTCTAAAATACTATAGAATTTGTTAATTGAGTTGCAAATTGCCGACTACTTCAGACTCAAGTTTCTCAAAATAGTTCTCAGTGTGATGTCTCCTCAGTATGTGGTATTTCCCTTTTGGTATGTAGAAACTCATGATATTCTCCCGGAAGAGCTTGGCAAGAATGAGCGAATATGCGGACTGGTCGAAGCGGTGACACTTGCTGTATCTTCGTATCTTGCTGTCACAGTGGAACTGTGCTTCGGACTGGTCAGTACACATGCAGAGGGGGTCAAGGGCACAGGCCGTCCACACTTTCAGCAAGAACTTCCTGGAAACACAATCTCAAGTTATAGATGACAACGCTATTTGAGTGAGTGGGTGAGTTAATACTTAACGTCACATCGGCAGTATTTCAGCCATATCGTGACGAGAAGTTATACATTAATGATACATATATTTAGACTAAATAAAAACCTGTCAACGATGGACAACAGTACAATAACTAGAATATCACAGATTTGTTTAAAAAACTAGTTGAGAATATTAAAAGGCAGTAAGTATTAATGAACAACACAATATAAAAATGGGCTAGAAATCGTCAGTCACTGAAGGGAGATCACCATACTAGGGACGACAACGCTATTTGGAATACAATACACTTTAATTCGTAAGTGAGTAAGATGAGTTTGACGCCGCTTTGAACAGTACTCGAGTTATACCACGGCGTGGCAGCTTGATGTGGGAGGAAGCCCGAAGCGATGTAGGTCTCATACGTTTACCAATTTGGTAAAAACCCACGAGCACGGTTAAGGTGCTGACAAACCTTGAAACATAATCGAGGCGAACCGGGATTCGAACCAACGATCAAAGGTTTCTCTGCACAGCGAATTGCGAATTGCTGAACAAGTCTGGCGGTATGAGGTCGTGAATTATCCTGCTGCAAAAGGATACCCCTTGGCTGTCCACGTAAGAATGGCATTACAACAGGTCGCAACACTTCATCTCTGTATCTTTGGTCAGTCATATTCCCACGGATGATGACAAGCCTTGTTGTCCACTGACCGCAAATACCGCCCCATACCACGACGCCGCCTCCATCATAAGGGTGCACATCTTGAATGCACTTAGATGCCTGTCGCTCTCTCCTACGTCGATAAACACGGACTCACCATCATTTCGGAGCAAGGGACTTTTTTCTGTGAACAGCACCCTTTCCCAATCACGCCGCTGCCACGGCGGACATCGTTAACAGACAAACAATGGCTCTAAATAACTAAAATGAAACACGCTTGACCTCGCATCAGAGTGTCAGTGGGTGGAATCCCGTGACCACGTGGTCAAGACGTCCGTCCTCGGATCAGAGGGTCAGTGGGTGGAATCCCTTGACCATGTGGTCAAGACGTCCGTCCTCGGATCAGAGTGTCAGTGGGTGGAATCCCTTGACCATGTGGTCAAGACGTCCGTCCTCGCATCAGAGTGTCAGTGGGTGGAATCCCGTGACCATGTGGTCAAGACGTCCGTCCTCGGATCAGAGCGTCAGTGGGTGGAATCCCTTGACCATGTGGTCAAGACGTCCGTCCTCGCATCAGAGTGTCAGTGGGTGGAATCCCTTGACCATGTGGTCAAGCCGTCCGTCCTCGGATCAGAGTGTCAGTGGGTGAAATCCCGTGACCATGTGGTCAAGACGTCCGTCCTCGGATCAGAGTGTCAGTGGGTGGAATCCCGTGACCATGTGGTCAAGCCGTCCGTCCTCGGATCAGAGTGTCAGTGGGTGGAATCCCGTGACCATGTGGTCAAGCCGTCCGTCCTCGGATCAGAGTGTCAGTGGGTGGAATCCCGTGACCATGTGGTCAAGACGTCCGTCCTCGGATCAGAGTGTCAGTGGGTGGAATCTCTTGACCACGTGGTCAAGCCGTCCGTCCTCGGATCAGAGTGTCAGTGGGTGGAATCCCGTGACCATGTGGTCAAGACGTCCGTCCTCGGAACAGAGTGTCAGTGGGTGGAATCCCGTGACCATGTGGTCAAGACGTCGGTCCTCGGATCAGAGTGTCAGTGGGTGGAATCCCGTGACCATGTGGTCAAGACGTCCGTCCTCGGATCAGAGTGTGAGTGGGTGGAATCCCTTGACCATTTGGTCAAGACGTCCGTCCTCGGATCAGAGTGTCAGTGGGTGGAATCCCGTGACCATGTGGTCAAGACGTCCGTCCTCGCATCAGAGTGTCAGTGGGTGGAATCCCGTGACCATTTGGTCAAGACGTCCGTCCTCGGATCAGAGTGTCAGTGGGTGGAATCCCTTGACCACGTGGTCAAGACGTCCGTCCTCGGATCAGAGTGTCAGTGGGTGGAATCCCGTGACCATTTGGTCAAGACGTCCGTCCTCGGATCAGAGTGTCAGTGGGTGGAATCCCGTGACCATTTGGTCAAGACGTCCGTCCTCGGATCAGAGTGTCAGTGGGTGGAATCCCGTGACCATTTGGTCAAGACGTCCGTCCTCGGATCAGAGTGTCAGTGGGTGGAATCCCTTGACCATGTGGTCAAGACGTCCGTCCTCGGATCAGAGTGTCAGTACTAGTGGGTGGAATCCCTTGACCATGTGGTCAAGCCGTCCGTCCTCGGATCAGAGTGTCAGTGGATGGAATCCCGTGACCATGTGGTAAAACCGTCCGTCCTCGGATCAGAGTGTCAGTGGGTGGAATCCCTTGACCACGTGGTCAAGACGTCCGTCGTCGGATCAGAGTGTCAGTGGGTGGAATCCCATCACGTGACTCGGACAGTTTATGGCTGCTATATTAGCGCCCAATGTTAGCCATAGCACGTTAATCTCACATTTGGGGAAAATATATTTCATTCTACCATGACACTGAAGAATGCTTAATTCTGATTGGTCAATTAAATAATAAAATCAGATATCTAATTCCATTAGACAGAATTAATTAACTATTTTCACACATAAAAATGCACATTTCTCGATAGCTACATATTGAGGCATATTATAATGGTTGCCAAAAACGAATAAGAGCTAAATACAGGGTTAGAAATTAACACTAGCCCACCAGCCCTGGGCTAGTACAAATTCCTGCGGGCGAGAACAAATTTCCTAATTTCCCCATTGTTTTAACATTACAAGGACAATTTAACTTTACCTGGGCTAGTAAAGCCTTTCAGTTTAGTTCTTAGCAAGTATATACGTTCGAAATTGACGTACAATTTAAAAATAACTAAAAGACTGGTATTATGTTTTTTTAGGAATATATTAGATCAGCATTTTCTGTCACAAAACCTACCACCCCTACAACGGGAGATACCGTGATGAGTACGAGCAAAACAATACGTTCAAAAGGGTTGCGATAAATGTAACTAAATTTATTAATTTATATATGGACTGTTATTTGATGACTTCTTTGTCAATATACTGTGTCTTTTATAACCATTATTTCTATAAAGTCAACAATGTTGTTGATAGATATCAAACCTTAGTCATATTTCATAATATTTTCCCTTTAAGGAATGTTCTAGGATGGCTGACCTATTTATCATGTGTAATTACGCCTCACAAAAGAATATCGATTTAAAGGTGTACTATATGGAGATACGTATACTGGGAAATTGGGAGCAGTATAACTGGAGATGTCATTTCCTCAAATTTAACAACACAGTAGGCTTATCTCCAATTTAGCCTACTTTGCGGCGCGGGGCATGCTGTCTGTAGAGGTTAAGTGATATGGGGTTTAACGTCGCGTCTAAGATTATTGCACTTATATAGCGACGTGCATGCACGTGTGGTATGGCTACTTGTACTGGAGAAAAAAATATTTTAAAATCTTTCATAATTTTGCTGAAAAGAACATAAGTATTTTTTATGTTGCTGCTTTCAATTTGTTATGGTCAGGAAAACAAAACATTTGATTCGTGACTTCGAAGATGGTCAAAGGGAGGTAACTCGACATCGGCATTTCTGGCTAAGCCAACCTTGAGCCCATGTTCAAATATTACACTCGTCGAAGCTAATAGAAAAGTACGTTCACCAGGAATGTATACCGATATACGGATGTAGATTCCTTTATTTCAATTTAACATTGATAGCGAATACAGTTATCTTATAATCATGTTAATTTTTCACAGAACCCTTACCCGATCAATTATTACGTGAGATTTTACGTTTGCTTACAACACTAAGTGTCAATCAAGCGGTACAGATGCTTCGGCCAACCTCGCCCCTTTCCTCCCCTTTCCGTAACCGCAGCGGAAATGGCCGATCCTGTTTAGAGTCGTTGATGAAGCTAAGGGGACTAAAATGTCCCCTGTGACAAGTAAGGCCTTTGGCAACAAGGATTACCAGCGCCTTCACTGGTATGAACGATCTTTATTTTGTATAAAAATAGTGGTTCTGTGACGACATGAATGAGAAACTATATTGTAACTGCATGACGCCTAATATGTTTGAAATGATGTAATTTTGTGCCGAAAATATCATGTATCGATTCATTAAAAGTTTTACATCAAATTATATTTTTAAAAATGAAATCATATAGCAGTACTCTTTGAGAACTGACTAAGTTCATTGTTTGGACATAATATCGCAATTTTGAAAATCAAACATAATTATGAGTGAGTGAGTGAGTTGGGTTTAACGCCGCTTTTAACAGTATTCCAGTTATATCCCGGCGTGTCAGCTTAATGTGGGAGGAAAGCCCGAAGTGATGCAGGTCTTAGACGTTAACCACTTCGGTGAAACCACGAGCACGGTATGGTGCTGACAAACCTAGAAACATAATCGGGGCGAACCGGGAATTCGAACCCACAATCATAGGTTTCGGGCGTGCCCAAGGGACGCCACTCTGCACAGCGAATCGCGGGGCCTTTGATGACTAGGCCACCCGTGCCCCCAAGCTCCTTCCCAGCGCGTGACACCTTTGTTACACTCTCGGTAACATCGCAATCTCATAAAAATCAGATCTCAGTTCTCGCTATCGCTAAACAAAGATCTGAGGACATCCTATTACGGGTCACCTCAGACCGACCTTTCATCCAGCAAATCAGAGCGTCGCTTACCAGATCATGAAAGTGACAGTCGGAATGTGTTTTCTAAACATGCAACCACGAAATATTTCACACGGGGTATTCCGAACGACAGTTACGGGTTTTATGATTATATCCATACAATCTAGGCCATCTATAAGCCATTCCAGAATGTTCTTATCAGTTTTAGTTTTATAAATTCGAGAATTCGTCAAACTATATTTTCGATGCGTAGTCGCCCCCAGTGTGAAACTAGCATCGTAGAGCTCGAGAAAGTTGCCTTCTGATTGGCTAATGTCGATTTCTTGTCATTTCATTGGTCGGTCAAAATTCGCGAAAGGTCGTTCTGACGTGACCCGAAATAGGATCTCCTCAGATCTTTGTTTAGCGGTAGCGAAAACTAAGATCTGATTTTAATGAGATTGGGTAGCATCGCTGCCACCAATGTGGGCGCGGCCATTACAGGAATGTTGAAATTTGCCCTCTAACCCCAAATATAGTAACGTTTATACTTTTCTTTATGTCTATGGGAATGCCATCATATTTCATTTTGAAAAAGTTTACGACTGACCATGTTTTCCAGATGAATTTACTTTGTTGTTTGTATAATCAGATTGGTTCGAGATTGCAGACAAACGGAAAATCAACCAACTTCTCCCTTACATTCTTACTATATCAATTACATGATAGTTTTAATGAAATAGAAATTCAAATTGACAAGCAAAGACATGTAATTTAGCAGGGGTAAGTGTATTTGGCGTCACGACAGTCGTCACTTGTTTGTAAAACATAACGGTCATTCGATTGCGAGTTCAACTCCAACCATGGTTGTGGTCACCCATCACAGTGGGGAGTTTTGACTGGTGGCAGCGATAGTATAGAGAGCTCCGCGAACGGGCTATCGCTGTGAGGAGCTTGCCCTGCCCCCCTCATAATTATGATAATATCAACTGAGATTTAATAATAACGGGGAAAAAGTAACTGTGCTTATCATAAAGTGGTGTAATGTTATTAATAACATTTGGTCATTCGTCTGATCAATATTTCAGCATAACAAATTCATCGACAAAGACCACATCTGGTAACAGACAGAGGCGACACACTGAAGACACCAGATGATTAAAAACAGCCAAAATGTCTGGCAACATTGTTTTGCGTCATTCCTATTTGCGACCTGTGAAGATACTGGATTGCATAGGTCCTCAGCAATCCATGCTTGCCGTTAAAGGCGACTATGCTTGTCGTAAGAGGCGACTAACTGGATCGGGTGGTCAGGCTCGCTGACTTGGTTGATGCATGTCATCGTACATCTTCCCGAGGCAAGAGAGTTAACTTACTATGAAAGTCCAGTTTCCACCCTTGCCGAACTAGGCTGGTATTATGGAGTTACATTTTGGCTGTACTAACGAGTCTATGCATAGTCCAGTCAAAATCGCGCAACGAAATCGAAAACCGGTTCGTAAACAGTCGTGCAGATTTGGTCGATTGCAGGATTTGCAAAACATGTGCCCCGCCAACTCGTTGTCAACAGATCTTTTTCAAATCATTTCATGTTTATAATCAAGGTACTCGCGATGTAAAGCCCGTTTTATCACAATATAGGTCTTCATTATCGATCAGATAGCGCCGCCATTTCGTTTGGTCCATAGGAGAGGTTTAGAAGGGACATAACTCGTAATAGCCACTGGTGGTGCTACGATCGAGCCCGGGAATTCCAGCCTAGTTCGGCAAGGGTGGAAACTTGACTTTTAAAGTCAGTTAACTCTCTTGCCTCGGGAAGATAGTCATCGTATCCCAATGGCGTGGATCGATGCTCATGATGTCAATCACTGGATTGTCTGGTCCAGGCTCGATTATTTTGTGGACACCAAAATTGGGCTTCACACATTGTACCCATGTCGGGAATCGAACCCGGTTTTCGGCGTGACGAGCGAACGCTTTACCCACTAGGCTACCCGACCGCCCCTACTTTATAAATAAGTAATACTTGTGGAAAATTCTTATTTCGTAAGACCGCCTCCGTGGTCTAGTGGTAGAGCATCCGCCCGGAAAGCGGAAGGTCCGGGGTCGGTTCCTGGCCGCGTCATACCAAATAGACATTAAAAGATGGTACTTGTTGTTACCCTGTCTAGCAAGGGGCTGAAACAAGGACTGATCAGCTCGGAGTCAGTATACTGTGTCTGAGTTTGGTATTCATGTTAAACTGCGACATATTATCTCAGTGAGCTAGCCATTTAAATTGGCATTAGTCCGGACTAGTACAAGCAGACACACACACGCACGCACACACACACACACACACACACACACACACACACACACACACACACACACACACGTGCATGCTCCTAACCTCACCTCATATATCGTACCACCGATCCCAGTTGCGTGGATACATGCTCATGATATTAATCACTTGATTGTCTGGTCTAGACTCGATTATTTACAGACCGCCGTCATATAGCTGGAATATTGCTGAGTGCGGGGTAAAAACAAACAAACCAACCAAAATCATATGCTGTACTGGTACACCCATACCTTATAAAGGGGTCGTTATGTAGAACCTGGAAGCCCGCTTCGGCCTCGTTATACCGGGAGAACTGACATGCGGAGTCGCCGAAGTAGTGGAACATGTCGCGGGACGTGTGTTCTGCCAGGGCGTACTTGTTCACGGGGGAGAAGGCAAGGCCCCGGGCCCGGGCAGCGGCAAACATGGGGTTGAGTTGACCAGTCCGAAACCTCACAGAGGAATCCACCCAGACGATGTAGTCCGTGGACGACAGGTGCGCCTGAATATAAAGAGAGTTATTCAGCCTCGGGACCTACAATGTTTACATGTCTTTACAGTGTTGTCACTACCCCTAGCGTACAGAACATGCACCCTGTGCACTCAAAAGTACCCACTCGTCCGGTGGTAGATGACCAGATGGTGGAGTGAGTGAGTGAGTTTGGTTGAACGCCGCTTTTAACAGTATTCAAGTTATATCGCGGCGTGTCAGCTTAATGTGGGAGGAAAGCCCGAAGTGATGCAGGTCTCAGACGTTTATCACTTCGGTGAAACCCACGAGCACGGGTATGGTGCAGACAAACCTAGAAACATAATCGGGGCCAACCGGGATTCGAACCCACAATCATAGGTTTCTGGCGTGCAAAAGGGCCGCAACTCTGCACAGCGAATCGCGGCGCCTTAGACGACCGGGCCACCCGTGCCCCCGCACTCAAAAGAACCCACTCGTCCGATGGTAGATGACCAGATGGAGGTAACACCAATACGTGCATACACCCGAAACACAAGTGTTAAAACTTGTGGTGTCACCCTGGGCAAGTGACTTAGTTCAAATGTTTCTCTTCACCCAGCAGGAAATGGGTACCCGATAGGTGAGGTGGATGTAAAAAAAACTTCTAGCGCCCCTTGGCAGCTTGGGTTGTATACTCCCCAGGGAGTTGGGTTGATAACTGGAATGCAAACGGATCAACTTGTCGGGGAACGTATAAAGCCGCATTTTAGCAGATACTAGTACCTGGATACCTATATAAATGTATAATATAATAATATCATAATTTAAGACCTCTCTGAACAGTGGTGTATCACGACGTGTCAGTTGATGCGGGAAGACAACCTGATCACGAATGACGAGGTTTTAAACATTTACCACTTGTGCTGACAAACCTAGAAACTTGTGCAGGGCGGATCAGGGATTCGAAACCATGATTGTAGGAATCCAACAGCGCATAGCGACTAAGACGACTTGCTACCTGTGCACACAAACACGAACGCACACGCACGCACGCACGCACGCACGCACGCACGCACACACGCACGCACACACGCACACACACACTCACACACGCACACACGCACGCACACACATACATACACAACCCCCACCACTTCCCTCGAACTTGTTTGTTTGTTTGTTTGTTTGTTTGTTTAACGCTGCACTCAGCAATAGTCCAGCTATATGACATTTACATACAACGATTTCATTATTTCTGTACTGAGGAGGCCACAGGCCTAAAGAACATTTATAATTTGTAAAATCAGAGCATTGCATGATAAAAGTACATAGATAATTTTTGTAAAAGTAAGCACTTAGAGTTGTTTAACAGAGATGTTATTTAAAGAAATTGGGATTGGCATGTGAATATTCAAGTTAACTCTTAGCCCTCTCATTGTGCATTAAATAGGCATATAAAAAGGAAGTGGTATTCATCTTCAATGTCATACAGGGCGCACCATTGACGTAGGCGTTCTTCTCTAATACCGGTGTTACGCCTTGGTTCAAAAATAGATCATGGGAACAACATCGAAATCTTGCTTAGGAAACCCGGACTTACATAAAGACAGGATAAATACTGTTCGGGATATTAATCATGTTTTACCGTTTTGTAATAAATACATTTGTTTGATTCAGATACAGATTGAGACCAGTTTTGTAAATATATATCTTTTAGTCTAATGAAATAAGAGGTGAGGTGAGATTGGTTTTAACGTCGCGTCCAAGATTATTGCACTCATATAGCGACGTGCATGCACGTGTGTGTGTGTGTGGCTGCTTGTACTAGTCAGGACTGATGCCGATTTATAGTGCTAGCTCACTGAGATACCATGCCGCAGTTTAACATGAATACCCCACTCAGACACAGTATACTGACTCCGAGCCGACCAGTCCTTGTTTTAGCCCCTTAATGCCGAGCGCCAGACAGGGTAACAACAAGTACCATCTTTTAACGTCTTTTGGTATGACGCGGCCGGGGATCAAACCCCGGACCTTCCGCTCTACCACTAGACCACGGAGGCGGTCAATGAAATAAGAATACACTACATTGTATATTTTGTTCACACCATACATAGCCATAACCAAAGGTACACAACAAGTCTTTTACGTCTGTTGCGCAATTTCGTTTTCCATTTTTATCAAAGAGTACCATCATATTATAACATTTTTCGAGAACCTATGAGATAGCATGTTCAATAATCTTAACCAATATTTAATAACCTTATATATGAATATATATATACATTGGAAATCTGCCACAATCACCATATACCATAACACTTAGTGTATTAACCTTAACACCAAGAAATTTCTTGCAGGCATATAAATGTACTTTTTCTATATATTCAAGCTTACTGAGTCCCCGTGTCTCTGTTCCATATAGTAATATCGGACTTATCTTTAAATAAAATCTTGAAGAACGACTTGTAAGTAATATTTCCAAGAGTATAGATTTGTTTTAACACACCAATTAATATCTTTTGAGCTTGCATCGATGCTTGCTTTGCATGCACAGATCAAGTAAGATGATTTTTAAAATATACACCTAAATACTTGTAGAAAGAGGTAGTTTCTAGGCGTTCCCCTTTGTAAAACCATTTTTCCCTTCATTTTTAAAAACAACTATCTTCGATTTATCTTTGTTTACAGTTACAATGCAATGCAGAGAGGGTTTAGATGAATAGCTTGATATGTTCTGCTCTAATGGCCTGTTCCAACCGAGCTGTTATAGAAACAGCTATTATGACTGTTTGACATAACATTGACAATGATAGTCCTTGACAAGACAGAAAAGGAGATTGAAAGGTTAAACTGACATTGGAAATGTTTTGAGCGTTTAACTAACACCTCGAATTTCATTTTTGTTTTCAATATCCCAACAGAGCCTGTTCCAACAGAGCTGTTATAAAAACAGCTATTATGTCTGTATGACATAACATTGACAATGATAGTCCTTGACAAGACAAAAATGGAGATTGAACGGTTGAACTGACATTGGAAATGTTTTGAGCGTTTAACTAACACCTCGAATTTCATTTTTGTTTTCAATATCCCAACAGCTCAAGCCTTCACATTCAGATGCAAATAGTCAACTTTCCCTCTATGTCGAGCATTATTTCTGCAGCCCCAGCTCTTGGTGCATTTCACAACTTTTGAGGTCAATCGAGCATGCTCTTTTCTACTCCACCACTTGAAAGGGGTATTGCGGGCTGTCCGTCCAGCAACTCCATGTCTTTTCGGAAACAACGTATCAAATTATCTCCCTGTATGAAAAATGGAGGCATGTGTCAGATGTGTCTAATGTCCTGTAACCAAAAGAACTACTGGGAAGGTCTTATATCGAAGCACAATCTACTGTTTTATGTCCCTGGGGGCGGTTGGGTAGCCTAGTGGTTAAGGCGTTCGCTCGTCACGCCGAAGACCCGGGTTCGATTCCCGTCATGGCTACAATGTGTGAAGCCTTGATATTGCTTGAATATTGCTAAAACCGGCGTAAAACCATATTCACTCACTCACTCACTTATGTCCCTGTACTTCAAGTCAATCGTAGACCTACATTGATGATGATTGGCTTCCAGGTAAATCCCCGGATGAAGCTTAATCTCTCTGGTAGTTTCTCCAGCGGGTATTGCTTCACCTCACACAAGCACAGCCTCTGTAACTGATGGACAAGAACACAGTCATTATTAACATCACACATGCACAGCCTCTGTAACTGATGGACAAGAACACAGTCATTATTAACATCACACATGCACAGCCTCTGTAACTGATGGACAAGAACACAGTCATTATTAACATCATACATGCACAGCCTCTGTAACTAATAAACAAACACACAGTCATTATTAACATCACACATGCACTGCCTCTGTAACTGATGGACAAGAACACAGTCATTATTAACATCACACAAGCACAGCCTCTGTAACTAATGAACAAACACACAATCATTAAGTAACATCACACATGCACAGCCTCTGTAACTGATGGACAAACACACAGTCATTATTAACATCACACATGCACAGCCTCTGTAACTGATGGACAAGAACACAGTCATCATTAACATCACACATGCACAGCCTCTGTAACTGATGGACAAACACACAGTCATTATTAACATCACACATGCACAGCCTCTGTAACTGATGGACAAGAACACAGTCATCATTAACATCACACAAGCACAGCCTCTGTAACTGATGGACAAGAACACAGTCATTATTAACATCACACATGCACAGCCTCTGTAACTGATGGACAAGAACACAGTCATTATTAACATCACACATGCACAGCCTCTGTAACTGATGGACAAGAACACAGTCATCATTAACATCACACATGCACAGCCTCTGTAACTGATGGACAAGAACACAGTCATTATTAACATCACACATGCACAGCCTCTGTAACTAATGAACAAACACACAATCATTAAGTAACATCACACATGCACAGCATCTGTAACTGATGGACAAGAACACAGTCATTATTAACATCACACAAGCACAGCCTCTGTAACTGATGGACAAACACACAGTCATTATTAACATCACACATGCACAGCCTCTGTAACTGATGGACAAGAACACAGTCATTATTATCATCACACAAGCACAGCCTCTGTAACCGATGGACAAGAACACAGTCATCATTAACATCACACATGCACAGCCTCTGTAACTAATGGACAAGAACACAGTCATTATTAACATCACACATGCACAGCCTCTGTAACTGATGGACAAGAACACAGTCATCATTAACATCACACATGCACAGCCTCTGTAACTGATGGACAAGAACACAGTCATTATTAACATCACACAAGCACAGCCTCTGTAACTGATGGACAAACACACAGTCATTATTAACATCACACATGCACAGCCTCTGTAACTGATGGACAAGAACACAGTCATTATTAACATCACACATGCACAGCCTCTGTAACTGATGGACAAGAACACAGTCATTATTAACATCACACATGCACAGCCTCTGTAACTGATGGACAAGAACACAGTCATTATTAACATCACACAAGCAGAGCCTCTGTAACTGATGGACAAACACACAGTCATTATTAACATCACACATGCACAGCCTCTGTAACTGATGGACAAGAACACAGTCATTATTAACATCATACATGCACAGCCTCTGTAACTGATGGACAAGAACACAGTCATTATTAACATCACACATGCACAGCCTCTGTAACTGATGGACAAGAACACAGTCATCATTAACATCACACAAGCACAGCCTCTGTAACTGATGGAAAAGAACACAGTCATTGTATAACATCACACATGCACAGCCTCTGTAACTGATGGACAAACACACAATCATTAAGTAACATCACACATACACAGCCTCTGTAACTGATGAACAAGAACACGGTCATTGTATAACATCACACATGCACAGCCTCTGTAACTGAAGGACAAACACACGGTCATTATTAACATCACACATGCACAGCCTCTGTAACTGATGGACAAACACGCAGTCATTATTAACATCACACATGCACAGCCTCTGTAACTGATGGACAAGAACACAGTCATTATTAACATCACACATGCACAGCCTCTGTAACTGATGGACAAGAACACAGTCATTGTATAACATCACACATGCACAGCCTCTGTAACCAATGAACAAACACACGGTTATTGTATAACATCACACATACACAGCCTCTGTAACTGATGGACAAACACACGTTCATTGTATAACATCACACATGCACAGCCTCTGTAACTGATGGACAAACACACAATCATTAAGTAACATCACACAAGCACAGCCTCTGTAACTGAAGGACAAACACACGGTCATTGTATAACATCACACATGCACAGCCTCTGTAACTGATGGACAAACACACAATCATTAAGTAACATCACACATGCACAGCCTCTGTAACTGAAGGACAAACACACGGTCATTGTATAACATCACACATGCACAGCCTCTGTAACTGATGGACAAACACACAATCGTTAAGTAACATCACACATGCACAGCTTCTGTAACTGATGGACAAACACATGTCCATTGTGTAACACTCAGTCCCCGTAACTGATTAACAAACACATGACCATTGTGTAACACTCAGTCCCCGTAACTGATTAACAAACACATGACCATTGTGTAACACTCAGTCCCCGTAACTGATTAACAAACACATGACCATCTGTAACACGGTATCCCTGTATCTAATTAACAAAGACATGACCATTACATGACGGTGTCCCTGTAACAAACACATGTCCATTGTGTAACACCGTCTCTGTAACTGATTAACAAACACAAGACCATCTGTAACACGGTGTCCCTGTAATTGATTTACAAACACATGACCATTTGTAACACGGTGTCTCTGTAACTCTTTATAAGGCCCGCAGTTACAGGGCGTGGCTACTAACCTGCTCCCTCTCGACCGGGTCAAGTCCGATGTCGTAGTAGAAGAAGGTGTAGTTTTGTAGCCTCGGGAACACGGTCAGATGGAGGTTCTTGATGAGGGCCTGTGACTCCATGTAGTGGTCAGACGAGCCAGCGGTGATGAATGTGATCCGATACCCCCTGGGAATGTCTCCAAGGATCTTTACGGCTTCATGAATAGCCGTCTCTTTCAGTCGTGTTAGTGGTTTAAGGACACTCTTGAGATTCTCGTCGCTATCTGCATCAGGGAGTGGGGCTCCACAATTTTGATCAATACAAACTTTATCTGAAATACAATCACATATTGAACAATGTCTTTCATCAACTCAACACCTTGTGAACGAATTGTCGATGTCAGCAAAGTACATCCACGCCAGATTATTGAACTTATATAGCGACGTGTGCATACACGTGTGTTTGTGTGTATGTTTCGATCTACAGTAAACTACGGTTATAACGAACTCATGGGGACTACTAATTTTAGTTCGTTATAACCGTAGTTCGTTATAAGCATATATACAGAATAACTACAGCAAATGGTCGGGACCAAATAAGTAAGTTCGTTATATCCGTCAGTTCGCTATAAGCGTGTTCGTTATAACCGTAGTTTACTGTATTTGATATGGTTCTGTTGCCATCCTTACCTGGTTGGTCCGATGCACAGGAGTTTCTGGGTGGAAGATGCAAAAGGACGCCGTTCCGTTTAAGATCTGAAAACATATAAACCATCATCAAGATAGGTTCGCTCTGTCAAACGCAATCTAGTATCCTACATGTATGCCGTCTAAATGTGTCATATAATGTGATTCTTAAAATATACTAAGCCACTGGTAGTCGAAAAATGGTCAGCTATAGCGTTGGCTTTTTCTATATTTGTGGTAGGATTCAACATATTTAGTGAAATAGTTGATTTAGATATTCCCTCTATGGCTAGGAAATATTCACAGGATTCAGTTTTCGAATTTTTAGGGTTTCCCAGTGTATCTTTTTAGCTGCTCTAATAATTTTTTTAGTTTTGTTTCTCAAGTTTTTGGCCGATTGGAATTTTGAAAGGTCTCTTTTAGAGCCATTTTTTCGTTTTCGAAAATGAATCATTCCCGTGCTCCACCAGAGGCGACCGTCAATCTATTGGAGTGGAAAGTGGTGGGATTACCGGATATCTTCCATTTAAGCAATTGTCTGTATTCTTCAAGGTGGACGGTTGATGGTTTCTTTGACACGATATCCGATTCTGTGAACATAAGCGTCAAAATAACAAAACATGTTCAGCCACTTACATTCATTTGATTCTATATCGCAGACTCCATTCATCAAGTGAATGCTCAACGTGTTAAATTATTATGACCCCGGTGCGCACTCAAATTTCCTTCTCAGCTCCCTGGGGAGTACCCAACCCAATCCGCCGTATCATAGACGAGTACAATATACCAGGGTTTTTTATGAGTTCTGAGCCTCACACAGAAGGAATTTGCCAAAAGACATTCAAATGACTTATTTATCAACATTATCCACATTGATACACTTTAGCCAAGGATGTTGGTGGAACCTCCTGCACTTCGATGTCCTTGAGATTGTCCCAAGCTGCTATCCGGAGTGCTCTCTCCATCCTCAGGAACAGCTGGAGACCTGACGGAGCCACATCAGGAGACTGAGGTGAGTGCTGACAGACTTCACAGCAACACCAGTTGCTTGTAGCCATGGCTTTTACTGGGGGCACGGGTGGCCCGGTCGTCTAAGGCGCCGCGATTCGCTGTGCAGAGTTGCATCCCTTGGGCACGCTAGAAATCTATGATTGTGGGTTCGAATCCCGGTTCGCCCCGATTATGTTTCTAGGTTTGTCAGCACCATACCCCTGCTTGTGGGTTTCACCGAAGTGGTAAACGTCTGAGACCTGCATCATGCATCAATTCGGGCTTTCCTCCCACATTAAGCTGACACGCCGCGATATAACTGGAATACTGTTAAAAGCGGCGTTAAACCCAACTCACTCACTCACTCACTCACTCACTCACTCACTCACTCATGGCAATTGCTGATTCGTGCACTGGCGCATTTTCCTGATGGAAGAGAACCCTTTTCCCTCTCGACCCACGTCTCGTAGTCTTTCATCTCGTAATTGCCTCAAAGATGCAGCCTTTGGTGGTGGTGGTGGTGGTGGTGGTGGTGTCAAATGTTTCGTATCCCAATTGCGTACATCGATGCTCGTGATGTCATGATCACTGGAATGTCTGTCCAGCCTCGATTATTTACAGACCGCCGTCATAGAGCTGGGATATTGCTGAGTGAGGCGATAAACAACAAACAAATGTGCATAGAACCGCTACGGATTCCGACAGGGCCGTTGTTACTAGGGGAACATATCGTTGCAGGCGAATCGTACCAAGATTTAGGAATACGTTACCAAACATGTGTAACCCCAAACATGGCAACTATTACAAGATGGAGCTACATACGAGATAACAGGTGTATTCGGAGAGTGTTCTACTTGACTGACCTGAAATGTGATCTTCCACTGCGTAATGGCTGCTTTTCACTTGCTCTGGAGCTACCGGCAGGCCTGGGAATAAATCCAGGGCGTTCATCTTATACACAAATCATAAGATAAACAATGTGACAGTTTATACGATTATCCTGATAATTCAATACAAAAGGAGCGTTTTTCGCGTCTTTCATTGTGTAATTCTGGGGCGAAATCAGGAGAACCAAGCACATGATTATGAACAAAGACATATCTGATGTTAAAATTTATTTCTGTTTTGGAATATTCTTTTGAGAGTTTGATTTATGTTAATTTGCTGCCTAACACGTGTAGGTCTATCCAACATTTCTGTCACAGTACGATGGAGAGTGAAACACCTAATTTAATTACCATGCCAACGGAATAACACATTCATTATTGACTGATTCGTGCCCTGTCTGACATGAGTGGCGGGAAGTGATGTACTTCTCGCTCTCAGCCTCAACGATGGTGACATATACGAGTTGCATCGGGCATATACCTTATTTTCACTCTCAATTGTAAGTTAAGATGTAGGCCAAAACAAAATATATACAACCCTTCTCTTCAGATCTTTTTGACAAACGACTGGCCCAAAATATCCCAAGCCAAAATCAAGTTTCTCAGGCTGTGGCACCTGTGTGAGTGAGTTGGCTTTAACGCCGCTTTTAACAGTATTCCAGTTATATCACGGCGTGTCAGCTTAATGTGGGAGGAAAGCCCGAAGTGATGCAGGTCTCAGACGTTTACCACTTCGGTGAAACCCACAAGCACGGGTATGGTGCTGACAAACCTAGAAACATAATCGGGGCAAATCGGACACCCATGTGATTCTCTAGTGGTTGTCCCATCTAACATAAATTATTGTATTTCGCACAGGCGGTTTGGTAAGATGTAATGAGTGAGTATGAATTTACGCAATATTCCAGCAATATCACGACAGGGCTTCACACATTGTACCCATGTGGGAAATAGAACCCGGGTCTTTGGCGTGACGACGAACGATTTAACCACAAGGCTACCCCACCGCCATGATGTAGTATCACGTGATGATATCGGTCTATTGATGACGTAATTTTAAGCCTACATAAATCAGATTCATATTTAGCTGTTAACGGAGGTCTCTCTTGAGTGTTATAAACTCATGTAAGCATACTCAGGTATAATGCTACTTACACCAATTTCAAAATATCTGATACACAAATACTCCTTTGTGGATGCGACGTATGGGGTTAACAAACCATTAAAAGTATTAATTTTTTAGCTTTATGCAAATATACTGAACAACAAAAGTTGCTGTGACATTGAATAAGATTTAATGCAAAGTTATGTTTTTTACCAAATCTGAAACAATTTCGGTTTGCAACAGATAAAAGACTCCTGTAGGTGTTCAAATGGTTTAATTTGCCATACTGACTTAAGAAAATGCGTGATTTCATTAAAAAACCATGAACATGCCAAAATGTCAATTTACAAATCAAAAGCGTGTGTCAACCTCTGGTTGCGATGCAAGCAACACATCTTCGTCTCATGGAATGGACCAGGACCAGGTACCGCTGTCCATTGAGATTTCCCTCTACCACTATCAAACGGGTCCTCTGTCTTGCTGTAATCCAACCCCATACCATAACGCTGCCGCCCCCGAACCGATCTTCTTCCATGATACAATGATTGACGTAACGTTCACCTCGACGTCGGTACACTCGAATCCGTCCATCGCTGTGGCTGAGGTGAAAACGCCTCGTCAGTGAATAGAACTTGTCCCCACTGCATAGCCGTCCAGCGTAGACGCTGTCTGCACCACTGTAGACGTGCTTGAGGGTGGTTTCCTGTCAAAATGGGACGTCTGGCGGGTCTTCTGGCGACAATCCCTGCACATCTGAGGCGACGACGCACGGTTTGTGAAGTTATTCGTCGAAGGCAAGGCTGCTTCTTGCAGTCACTGTTGCTGGCTGGAATCGATTTCGTAGGTGTGTTGTTCGAATCCAGTTGTCTTGTCGATTATTGGTTACGCGTGGCCTGCCACTCAGAGGATGGTCTCTGACTTCATTCATCTGTTGCCAACGTTGCCATAAACACCAAATGGTGATTCTGTAGACGTTAAATTGTCTTGCAACATCACGTTGACTCGATCCTGCTTCAAGCATACCAATGGCTCGCTGACGCTCATTTTCGGACAGGCATGGCATTTCGTAATGTTGAATAATTGCGTAATTTTGTTGTTTTTCTGAGTGGTTGTCAGCACGATGCTAAACAATGCATATGGAATCCCGTTATCAGTCACAGAAAGTTCTTTGCCTACAGCAGCGCGACAACTACCTGTGTATTCGATGCAATCTTACACACAGAAACGTAATGACACTGACGACAAGGCGATTATAAGCCACAGCACAAGTGGCTGGGATGACACGTATCTTGTTTGAGAAACTAATTGGTGAAACTACTCACCATTTAAGTTCACCCGAACACTGACGCCTTGAGGTTGGCCAGAAAACCCTGAACGTTGAAACGAAAAGAAATAAATATCTTATCAGAGCCCGATTAAAAAAAAAATAGCAATCTGTTCCGGAAAATGTTGGGAAACGATAAGTCCTTCGGATCAGCACTAAGACGATCGTATCTGTCATACCTGAACATAGACATCTCAGCACTAAGATGACAGTAACTGTCAAACTTTAACATAGACATCTCAGCACTAAGACGACAGTAACTGTCATACCTAAACATAGACATCTTAGCACTAAGACGATCGTAACTGTCATACCTGAACATAGACATCTCAGCACTAAGACGATCGTAACTGTCATACCTGAACATAGACATCTCAGCACTAAGACGATCGTAACTGTCATACCTGACCATAGACAACTTAGCACTAAGACGATCGTAGCTGTCATACCTGAACATAGACATCTCAGCACTAAGACGATCGTAACTGTCATACCTGAACATAGACATCTCAGCACTAAGACGATCGTAACTGTCATACCTGAACATAGACATCTTAGCACTAAGACGATGGCAACTGTCATACCTGAACATAGACATCTCAGCACTAAGACGATCGTATCTGTCATACCTCAACATAGACATCTTAGCACTAAGACGATCGTAGCTGTCATACCTGAACATAGACATCTCAGCACTAAGACGATCGTAGCTGTCATACCTGAACATAGACATCTTAGCACTAAGACGATCGTAACTGTCATACCTGAACATAGACATCTTAGCACTAAGACGATCGTAACTGTCATACCTGACCATAGACATGTCAGCACTAAGACGATCGTAACTGTCATACCTGAACATAGACATCTCAGCACTAAGACGATCGTAACTGTCATACCTGACCATAGACAACTTAGCACTAAGACGATCGTAGCTGTCATACCTGAACATAGACATCTCAGCACTAAGACGATCGTAACTGTCATACCTCAACATAGACATCTATGCACTAAGACGACCATAACTGTCATACCCGAACATACACATCTCAGTACTAAGTCGATCGTAACTGTCATACCTGAACATAGACATCTCAGCACTAAGACGATCGTAACTGTCATACCTGAACATAGACATTCTAGCACTAAGACGATCGTAGCTGTCATACCTGAACATAGACATCTCAGCACTAAGACGATCGTAACTGTCATACCTGAACATAGACATCTTAGCACTAAGACGATCGTAACTGTCATACCTGAACATAGACATCTTAGCACTAAGACGATCGTAACTGTCAAACTTAAACATAGACATCTTAGCACTAAGACGATCGTAACTGTCATACCTGAACATAGACATCTTAGCACTAAGACGATCGTATCTGTCATACTTTAACATAGACATCTTAGCACTAAGACGATCGTAACTGTCATACCTGAACATAGACATCTTAGCACTAAGACGATCGCATCTGTCATACTTTAACATAGACAGCTTAGCAGTAAGACGATCGTATCTGTCATACATTAACATAGACACCTTAGCACTAAGGCGATCGTATCTGTCATACCTGAACATAGACATCTTAGCACTAAGACGATCGTATCTGTCATACTTTAACATAGACATCTTAGCACTAAGGCCATCGTATCTGTCATACTTTAACATAGACATCTTAGCACTAAGACGATCGTAGCTGTCATACTTTAACATAGACATCTTAGCACTAAGACGATCGTAGCTGTCATACTTTAACATAGACATCTTACCTTGGTTGCCCCACCACGGACATGGCCTCGAGTTCCATAATGTCAGAAGGAATGCGAACAACAGGAAAAGCGTTATCGCTGGATTTAAACCTTAAAAATACAACGTTAACAAAATATTAAGACATGTTTTCCACATACATGTATCTGTTGTCGATTTGAAGTGCGATGTAAAAAATAAGCATCCCTGGTACCAACTTCACAAAGTGCTGCAAACGTCGAAACGCCGAAACATTACCATTAACACGATAGGCGGTATATTACTGTGTGAGCGAGGCCCAGAAATACACTACGGAATAATTGCATGAAATGTTTTGTCGATTTTCAAGATATTATTACAATTGCTAAATTTAAAAGTTACTTTAGATTGTTAAACATACCTATATATATATCTGAAACAAAGGGCGAGGACTTCATGCTGACATTATATATGTAATATATGATTTCGGATTTTGTTGTGTCCTGAATATAGAATATCCTGTGAAACTCTGCGACATCTGCTGGGTTTTAAGGGTACGGCAAATACGTTACTGTCACAATTAACTATAATTATTAGCTTTTCACCCAAATGTATAAATCGGGCCATTTTTGTTTTACCATTTAGCTCACCTAAGCATTAATGATCCCAGGTATGGTGTCGCTAAAACTGGCTCACAATTCCGATCCGGCTTTTAACTTGGCCATATTTAAAAGGTGTCACATTTGCTCATTACTTTATCACAGGCATGTATTTGTATGAAATTTGGCATGCAATGTTGACAAGTATGTTGTATGCGGTTCAACATATAATATATTTTTTTTACATATTTTTATTTTTGAGGAAGCAATGGCCTTTGACCTTCACGTACCCCGTGTTTCAAGTGTTACTGGATTGTTTATATCTACTATGTTCTACTATCATCTCAGCTATGGTGTTTTGATGTGACGTGAAGTGGCATTGGCCTGACTGTATGTGTCTGAGGTGGGTGGTGTGGTCTTTGCCTGTGTGTTTGTTGGAGGTGGGTGGTGTGGTCTTGATGTGTGTGTTTGTGGGACGTGGGTGGTGTGATCTTAGCGTGTGTTTCCGTGGGAGGCGGGTGGTGTGGTCTTGGCATGTGTTTGTGGGAGATGGGTGGTGTGGTCTTGGCGTGTTGTGTGTGGCTGTGGGAGGTTGGTGATGTGGTCTTAACATGTGCGTCTGTGGGAGGAATGTGGTGTTGTCTTTTTGTCCTTGTGGGGTGGTTGGTGTGGTCTCGGCGTGTGTTTGTGGGAGGTGGGTGGTGTGGTCTCGGCGTGTGTTTCTGGGAGGAAGGTGGTGTTGTCTTGGCATGTGTGTCTGTGGAAGGTGGTGTTGTGGTCTCGGCGTGTGTGATGTGGAAGTTGGGTTATGTGTGTTTGTGGGAGGTTGGTGGTGTGGTCTCGGCGTGTGTTTCTGGGAGGTAGGTGGTGTGGTCTAGGCATGTGTGTCTGTTGAAGGTGGGTGGTGTGGTCTCGGCATGTGTTTGTGGGAGGTCGGTGGTGTGGTCTTGGCGTGTTGTGTGTGGCTGTGGGAGGTTGGTGATGTGGTCTTTGCGTGTGTGTCTGTGGGAGTTTGGTGATGTGATCTTAACATGTGCATCTGTGGGAGGAATGTGGTGTTGTCTTTTTGTCCTTGTGGGGTGGGTGGTGTGGTCTCGACGTGTGTTTGTGGGAGGTGGATGGTGTGGTCTCGGCGTTTGTTTGTGGGAGGTGGGTAGTGTAGTCTTTGTGTGTGTCTGTGGAATGTGGGTTGTGTGTGTCTGTGGGAGGTAGATGGTGTGGTCTTGGCATATGTTTGTGGGAGGTGGATGGTGTGGTCTCGGCATGTGTTTGTGGGAGGTGGGTGGTGTGGTCTTGGCGTGTTGTGTGTGGGAGGTGGGTGGTGTGGTCTCGGCGTGTGTTTGTGGGAGGTGGGTGGTGTGGTCTTGGCATGTGTGTCTGTGGAAGGTGGGTTATGTGTGTCTGTTGGAGGTGGATGGTGTGGTCTTGGCATGTGTTTGTGGGAGTTGGATGGTGTGGTCTTGGCATGTGTGTCTGTGGAAGGTGGGTGGTGTGGTCTCGGCGTGTGTTTGTGGGAGGTCGGTGGTGTGGTCTTGGCGTGTTGTGTGTGGCTGTGGGAGGTTGGTGATGTGGTCTTAACATGTGCGTCTGTGGGAGGAATGTGGTGTTGTCTTTTTGTCCTTGTGGGGTGGGTGGTGTGGTCTCGACGTGTGTTTGTGGGAGGTGGATGGTGTGGTCTCGGCGTGTGTTTGTGGGAGGTAGGTGGTGTTGTCTTGGCGTGTGTTTCTATGGGAGGTGGATGAAGTGGTCTTAACATGTGCGTCTGTGGGAGGTATCTGGTGTTGTCTTGTTGTCCTTGTAAGGTGGGTGGTGTGGTCCTTGCGTGTGTTTGTGGGAGGTGGGTGGTGTGGTCTTGGCATGTGTTTGTGGGAGGTGGGTGGTGTGGTCTTGGCATGTGTTTGTGGGAGGTGGGTGGTGTGGTCTCGGCGTGTGTTTGTGGGAGGTGGGTGGTGTTGTCTCGGCATGTGTTTGTGGGAGGTGGGTGGTGTGGTCTTGGCATGTGTGTCTGTGGAAGGTGGGTGGTGTGGTCTCGGCGTGTGTTTGTGGGAGGTCGGTGGTGTGGTCTTGGCGTGTTGTGTGTGGCTGTGGGAGGTTGGTGATGTGGTCTTAACATGTGCGTCTGTGGGAGGAATGTGGTGTTGTCTTTTTGTCCTTGTGGGGTGGGTGGTGTGGTCTCGACGTGTGTTTGTGGGAGGTGGATGGTGTGGTCTCGGCGTGTGTTTGTGGGAGGTAGGTGGTGTTGTCTTGGCGTGTGTTTCTATGGGAGGTGGATGAAGTGGTCTTGGCATGTGTTTGTGGGAGGTGGGTGGTGTGGTCTTGGCATGTGTTTGTGGGAGGTGGGTGGTGTGGTCTTGGCATGTGTTTGTGGGAGGTGGGTGGTGTGGTCTCGGCGTGTGTTTGTGGGAGGTGGGTGGTGTTGTCTCGGCATGTGTTTGTGGGAGGTGGGTGGTGTGGTCTTGGCATGTGTTTGTGGGAGGTGGGTGGTGTGGTCTCGGCGTGTGTTTGTGGGAGGTGGGTGGTGTGGTCTCGGCATGTGTTTGTGGGAGGTGGGTGGTGTGGTCTTGGCATGTGTTTGTGGGAGGTGGGTGGTGTGGTCTTGGCGTGTGTTTGTGGGAGGTGGGTGGTGTGGTCTTGGCATGTGTTTGTTGGAGGTGGGTGGTGTGTGTTTATGGGAGGTGGGTGGTGTGGTCTCGGCATGTGTTTGTGGGAGGTGGGTGGTGTGGTCTTGGCATGTGTGTCTGTGGAAGGTGGGTTATGTGTGTCTGTTGGAGGTGGATGGTGTGGTCTTGGCATGTGTTTGTGGGAGTTGGATGGTGTGGTCTTGGCATGTGTTTGTGGGAGGTGGGTGGTGTGGTCTCGGCGTGTGTTTGTGGGAGGTTGGTGGTGTGGTCTTGGCGTCTTGTGTGTGGCTGTGGGGGGGTGGTGATGTGGTCTTTGCGTGTGTGTCTGTGGGAGTTGGGTGATGTGGTCTTAACATGTGCGTATGTTGGAGGTATCTGGTATTGTCTTTTTGTCCTTGTGGGGTGGGTGGTGTGGTCTCGGCGTGTGTTTGTGGGAGGTGGGTGATGTGGTCTTAACATGTGCGTCTATGGGAGGTATCTGGTGTTGTCTTGTCCTTGTGAGGTGGGTGGTGTGGTCTCGGCGTATGTTTGTGGGAGGTGGGTGGTGTGGTCTTTGTGTGTGTCTGTGGAAGGTGGGTTATGTGTGTCTGTGGGAGATGGATGGTGTGGTCTTGGCGTGTGTGTCTGTGGAAGTTGGGTTGTGTTTGTCTGTGGGAGGTGGGTGGTGTGGTCTTGGCATGTGTGTCTGTGGAAGTTGGGTTGTGTTTGTCTGTGGGAGGTGGGTGGTGTGGTCTCGGCGTATGTTTGTGGGAGGTGGATGTAGTGGTCTTTGTGTGTGTGTCTGTGGAAGTTGGGTTGTGTGTGTATGTGGGAGGTGGGTGGTCTCGGGGGATGTTTGAGGGAGGTGGGTTGTGTGGTCTTTAGAATGTGTTTGTGGGGGGGGGGGGGGTGGTATGGTCTTGGCATGTGTGTCTGTGGAAGGTGGATGGTGTGGTCTTGGCGTGTGTAATGTGCAAGGTGGGTTGTGTGTGTCTGTGGGGGGTTGGGTTTTAGTGCTCTTTGCGTGTGTGTCTGTAGGAGGTGGGTGATGTGGTCTCGGCGTATGTGTCTGCGGGAGGTGGATGGTGCGGTTCTGTGGGATGTGGATGGTGTGGTCTTTACGTGTGTGTTTGTGGGAGGTTGGTGTTGGGGTCTTAGCGTGTGTGTCTGTGTATGGTGGATGGTGTGGTCTTGGCGTGTGTTTGTGGGAGGTGGGTGGTGTGGTCTTGATGTGTGTCTGTTGGAGGTGGGTGGGTGGTCTTGACATGTGTGTCTGTGGGAGGTGGGTGGTGTGGTCTCGGCGTATGTGTCTGCGGGAGGTGGATGGTGTGGTCTTTGCGTGTGTGTTTGTGGGAGGTGGGTGGTGTGGTCTTGGGGTGTGTGTCTGTTGGAGGTGGGTGGGTGGTCTTGACGTGTCTGTCCGCGGGAGGTGGTTGGTGCGGTCTTGGCGTATGTGTCTTTTGGAGGTGGATGGTGCGTGTCTGTGGGATGTGGATGGTTTGGTCTTGTCATGTGTGTCTGTGGGAGGTGGTTGGTGTGGTCTTAGCGTGTGTGTCTGTGGGAGGAGGGTGGTTTGTGTCTGTTGGATGTGGATGGTTTGGTCTTGGCGTTTCAGATTAGTGTGTGATGAACGGTGGGATATGTATGACTGTTTTAACTAAATATGAATGGCGATCAGCTATAACTAGTTACATAACATTCTGCAAAGGTGGAGGGTCCGTGGAGTGCGTGAGTGAGTGAGTATGGTTTTACGCCGCTTTTAGCAATATTCCAGCAATACCACGGCGGGGGACACCAGAAATGGGCTTCACACATTGTACCCATGTCGGGAATCGAACCCGGGTCTTTTGCGTGACGAGCGAACGCTTGAACCCATAGGCTACCCGACAGCCCGTGAGGCTCCGTGGAAGGTGGTTCTGCATACTTACCTCTGCCAAGTCGTTTCAAGCGTGTACCTCGCGGCCCCATTGGGAGTTTCCTGCAGGTGAGATTTAAATCACATGAGCTAACATTTCGTCGACAACATTCTGCCATCTTCAGATAAAAAGCAGATCATTATATATCACGACCAACTCTAATTGGTCTTACGATTTACGCTCAACTGAGTTTGATATCAATGTGCATTATAACACTATGAAAATCATACATTATGTGCCTCTATTGGATACACATGTACAATTTGTGTACATAAACATCACTATCACGAACCGCAGAGTCGCATAACAACGAGATGACGTAATACGAAAAGCATTTATAGCACACACGGGGCCGATCTGTTTTCGGCTTCACGATAGTAATTCGGATTTCTGATTGTTAAAATTAACTCAACTAAAACCAAGAAGTTTTTTCTCCCTATTACAAATCACCGCTGACAAATTCGAAGCGTTAAGTTTTTTTGAAGAAATATGACTTCAGCATGTAACCAGTTCAGCCTATTGTCTCCAATCTGTAACCGGTTCAACCGATTGTCTCCAATCTGTAACCGGTTCAGCCGATTGTCGTGAAACGCGGGTAAAAGCGCATGGTTTGAGTGAGTGAGTGAGTGAGTGAGTGAGTGAGTTAGTTAGTATGGTTTTACGCCGCTTTTAGCAATATTCCAGCAATATCACGGCGGGGGACACCATAAATGGGTTTCACACATTGTACCCATGTCGGGAATCGAACCCGGGTCTTCGGCGTGACGAGCGAACGCTTTAACCACTAGGCTACCCGACCGCCCGACTAGAAATTGAAATGAAAAGTGCGTTATGTAACTGCAAGTACATAAATTTTGCCATTAAAATACCATGAAAGCAAAAATGTCGTGAGATATCACTTATCTATATATATTTTTTCATATTTTAGTGCTCGGGCTATTATTCAAACCGTATAAATGTCTACGATTAAATCGTGTACATTCCAGGCCTCAGAAACTGTCAGGGTCTTCAAAAGGACTACAGAAGAGCAGAAAGGCATTAAGGGGATAAAACAAGGACAGGTCGGCTTGGAGTCAGTACACATGTTAAACTCAGTGGACCAGCACTATAAAACCGGCCATATTATGATTCAGGGTATTATCAACCTTTCATCCTTATCAACGGTTAAGCCATATTCATTTGGGATCTCTATATCTCCGATGGTAAAGCCTGAATAAATTCTCTCTCTCTCTCTCTCTCTCTCTCTCTCTCTCTCTCTCTCTCTCTCTCTCTCTCTCTCTCTCTCTCTCTCTCTCTCTCTCACACACACACACACACACACACACACGCACGCACGCACGCACGCACGCACGCACGCACGCACGCACGCACGCACGCACGCACGCACGCACACACGTATTCGTTGTCATTGACGTGGTACCGCTGTTACACGTTAAACCCCATTTCACCTCACCTGACCTGGTAGATAAAGGATATGGATAAAACTCCTAGGTTTGGGTTGAAAATGCTTTGTTTGTTTGTTTTTTAACGCCGCACTCTGCAATATTTCATCTATAAGACGGCGGTCTGTGAATGATCGAGTATGGACCAGACAATCCAGAGATTGATATCATGAACATCGATCTACGCAATTGGGATACAATGACATGCATCAACCAAGTTAGTGAGCCCGACCACCCGTCTCTTACGACAAGCATAGTCGCCTTTTCGGCAAGCATGGGTTGCTGAAGACCTATTCTACCCCGGATCTTCACGGGTAAGTTCAAAATGTAAAAAGAAAAGGCCGAGGGCGTTTCCAGTGTTCGAGGTTTTAACCATTTATATATGATTGTTTTCATGTCTTGAACAAAACCTAGAGTTGTCAATATATTATAACCTGAGAATCGCCCAATTATAAACATTGTTTGTTTCTGCTTCATTCTATAAATAATAATAATAACCACGTAGAATACAATTACCAGTTACAAGCCAATAACACCAGCATCTTATTTGTTTGTTGTTTGACGCCGCACTCAGCAATATCCCAGCTATATGACGGTGGTTTGTAAATAATCGAGTCTGAACCAGACAATCCAGTGATTGACATCATGATCATCGATCCATCCAATTGGGATCGATTACATGCATCAACCAAGTCAGCGAGCTTGACCACCCGATCCCGGAAGCTAGGAAGACGCGGAGCATACACTACTGCCCAGAAGTTCATTCCCCTAACACGCCTTGAGAACGCGTGTAACACGCATGTGACACGGGTGCTCAACGGGTTGAGCACCCATTGAGCACGCGTGGGTCACTTGGTGTACACGCGTGTACCCGGCGTATAACAGACAGACAGACAATAGTTTATTAGTGTCTCACTTCTGTACATACATAAAACAGATTTGTACAAATAGACATTGATAGAATGCACAGAACCATTCAATAGAATTATGAGAGACAAATTATCATAAAATTCATACATAAATGCTATAAAGATGATATAGTAAACCGTTATCCATATGAAAGATGCTTTCTACGATTAAGAATTAAAAAGCAGACTTTGGCAAGTTAAAAATACACACTGGCATCACTGAAAATTAAACAAAATCTGTCGATATCAGGTATATCTAAAATAAACATAAGATTTAGCAATACATTCATTAAAAAGAGTTGCCCTGATGTCGTCATATAATACGCAGTGAAACAAAACATGGACCTCGTCTTCTACGCTGTCATAACAGTGAAAACATTTTCATTTATGGACAGGTACACCTTCGTACCGACCGGTTTCCACTCGAATAAGAGCCACGCCACACCTAAACTTGGCTAGTGCCGATCTATAGTTTCTTATTTGAAACATAGTATTCTGTCCCATGTACTTGCTTGTAACATCGGTACATTCTCAATTTATTAAGCCCATTTCGCCCCTCTTCCTTTCTTAACATATCACTCCAACGGGTAACATATTCATTCATACACCATTGTTCCACCTGTGTACAAACAGAAAATGTATCTATACAACCTGTTGGGTTTAACAGGTGTCCTAAATCCATATGACTAAACATCTTTCTTACTCTACCATCCAGTTTTTACAACCATTTACAGCGTATCTGTCAGCCCACTTAAACACATGTTTGTACAACCTCCTAAGCATATTCTTAAGGCGACACTATTGTATGGCTATACCTTTCCACTGTCTGACAACAGGCGGTATCCATCCCATGTCCCCATTTATAGCGACGTTAGAGGCGTATTTGCCGAGTTTCAAATAAAATTTACTGGCTCTATGGTGTACAGCATTTGTTGCTGACACGTCATAATTACCCCAGATAGCCACCCTGTAGTCAAGAACTGATCACACCATACTATCATACAATTTGGAATAGGTTTGGAAATGCATACCGCCTATTGTCTTAACTTTGGAAATCATCAGGCCCAAAGCCCTATTAGCAGACTTCGCTGCTGCACGTGCCATTGCAGTAAAATCTAAGTGATCTGTAAACAGTACACCAAGATAATTATACTTAGCAGCCATATCTAAAATCATATTTCCGACATTAAAAACATGCTTCGTCTGTATGACAGACGGGTTTCTAAAATGGACAATTTTAGACTTTTCATAATTGATCTCTATCTTATTTGAGCAACACCAAGTATGTAAAACATCTAACAGTAAACTGGGATCAGCTACATGCTCAGCTAGCAACGCTAAATCATCCGCATATGCTAATGCTGCAATATTAAAATTGTCTACAGTTACACCAATATTAAGACTGTTGAGAGTATATAATAACTCATTTTTGAACATAATCAAGTTAAAAAGCAGGGAGATACTGACTGACTGATGTAGGAGATTTAACGTGCGCTTTCCGACTGTAGCGTATTTCGCACACGGGACTGGCCGGACCATTTAGTGTATTCCGAAAAGGGTGAAAGTGGTGTGTGCAACCCAAGAGGGGGCTTTTAGGGGTTGCTTATATAGTAATTTTGAAATTTTGAGATTTGGAAAGAATGCCAAGAGTGGGTGGGGGACGAACTAAGGGAGCTGTGTGTGTTTGGTGGTTGTTAGATAAGGTAGTTTTGGTTTTAATATTTTATTTTGGGTTTAAATGCGACTAATTAGTCCTGTTTTAATTAGGTATATGCCTAAGGCTTTGAATTTTTCTAATTTATTTTGTGGATTTAGGATTGATTCTAGTGTAAGTCCCGTTTTAAGATTTAGTGTGGTCTGTAGTGTTGTTCGGTGTGTTAGGTAGTGTTAGCAGTGAATGAGTACGTGTTCTGGTGTTTCTTGTTGTTTGCAATGTGGGCAGTTTCCTGTTGTGTGTAGATTAGCTATTTTACGGTGATTATTTAGTTTGGTGTGGCCTGTTTGTAGTTTAGTGTTTATTCTGTCGATTTTTTTGGATGGGTGTAGTATTTTTGGTTTATTTAGGGGTTTTTAATTTTGAGTATTTTCCTGATTTGGCTATTTGAGTTTTGGTATATATTTTGCCATTTTTTGTTGATTTTTTGTTTAGTGACACTTTTGATTTCTGATTTTGAGCTGGGTAAGTTTAAGCTTATTTCTGGGAGTTTAACCTTTAGCCTGCTGAATTATTTTCACACTTCTTACCCCTGCCTGCTGGATTAATTTTAGCATAAGGCGCTCTAAAGAGGGTGGGTGATTTCAAACAGTCGGTGCCTCATTAAACAAGGGCCAATTGAAGAAATATTTGGCACATTTATTCCTGATAGAAAACTACACAGTACTATAAAAACATATCCCGATGTTTTCAATCATACCAATGTTAAGACCAAAGCGAACACAAAATTTGTAAATTTTCTTGAACTTACCTGAATTGCGTTATTGAAGGTGGTTTGCATTTCATGCTAGGAACCTTTTAATATCGTAACATTTGTGCAAATTGATTTCAATAATCATATCTCCGATATCTTAATTTTAATTGAGTAAAAATTCGGGGTTTTTTTATCAGCAAATAACAGCGCGATGGTAAATTAGGAACCATTTCAGTGAATTTATTATCTAAACGTTAAACATAAAAATAACTTAATTTTCGAGGTCATCATGTCGGTTGCAGAA